GACACCTTGGAGCTGTTCATGTGAGGGCGAGACTTCAGACGTTAGTCAAAAGAATGTCGAGTGTAACACACAAAGAAGACGTGTGTGACACAGTGAAGCAGATCAGACACTCATTCCTGAGTGTAACACACAAAGAAGGCATGTGTGACGCAGTGAAGCAAAATAGACACTCATTCCCGAGTGTAACACACGGAGATGGCGTGTGTAACGCATGTCTAACAGAGGAGCAAATTAGACATGAATTCCCGGCTATACTATTAAAGAAGAAGCATGAGGTATTCGATCGGTTCAAAAGGTTGAAGGAACCCATCAGAACCTTTCTCACCGATAGAGGAGGAGAGTTTGCCTCAGCTAAGTTCAACATAGGTTTCATCGATAGAGGAGGAGAGTTTGCCTCGGCTAAGTATAATCTAAGTTGCATCGATAGAGGAGGAGAGTTTACCTCAGCTGAGTTGAAGATGCCGAACTACTAATGGGTTAAAACTATGGTAGCCGAGATGAAAGCTATCACAAGAAGCAAAACGTGGGAGCTTCTAACCGAGATGGAAGATATCACAAGAAACAAGACGTGGGAGCTTATAGATAGACCGGCTGCTAAACCTACATGGTTAAAGTGGATCGACAAGATTCAAGGAGCAGATGAAATCAAGATAAAGGAGGAGAGTCTTGCTTAAGGAATTTGGCGTGACACAGATATTGCAGTGTGTAACACGACTCAAGTTCCAATGGAGTCGAGTTACAAGTTGTCAAAAGCTGGAGACAAACCAGAGATAAATGCTCAAGGAATCATGTGTGACACACATATGAAAGCGTGTGTTACAACACATGTACCAGTGGAGTATGTGGTTAGACCGGCTGGTGTTAAACATACAGAGGTATGTAACACAAAGATGGAAACGTGTAACACTACTCATGCAGGGGTATGTGATACACATATGGAGACGTGTAACACAACTCACGTATGTGACACAAAGACAGAAGTGTGTAACATAACTCACGCACGCAAGATGGCGGACGTGAACAGAGTGAGTTTTAGCTGCAAGACTCATCGCAACTTAAGTGAAGAGGCAAGGAGAAGGTTCTACAAGAACTTGGCCAATTCTAAGAAGAGGCGGTACAAAAGTGAGGAGAACATCCAATCTAACCTTGAGAAAGATGTGGATCCAATGGGTGGATTCGCATACTATCGTGTGGTGATGGATGATTACTTGAAGTTTAAGTTCAAGCAAATGAGGAGCTTAATCGGAGTTCAAGAAATTGATCTCCCTAATTCAAGTTGGAATTAAGGGGGTGATTGTTGGGTAATTCCAAGCTTGTGAAAACTTAACATATTATTGGATGTTTAATATGTTAAGGATAAACACAATAAGGAAATCTAGAAATAGGAAAAGTAAGTTTTCTATTAGATTAGGTTTGTGTTTTCCATATCTCACATGTTCAAGGGAATTATCTTGCATATAAATAGAGATCTATGGAGAGGTGTTCCATAAGATCTAAGAGAGTAGATCATATGATCTANAAACTTAACATATTATTGGATGTTTAATATGTTAAGGATAAACACAATAAGGAAATCTAGAAATAGGAAAAGTAAGTTTTCTATTAGATTAGGTTTGTGTTTTCCATATCTCACATGTTCAAGGGAATTATCTTGCATATAAATAGAGATCTATGGAGAGGTGTTCCATAAGATCTAAGAGAGTAGATCATATGATCTAAGAGAAACATATTGTGAGCTTTAGTTTTGAGTAGTTTCTAAAGCTAATAAGAAAAGTTGTTCTTATAATTCTTTGTTTCTAGAGATTTGAATTGGTATCAGAGCTTAAGTTGAAGTTCTGATCTAGATTTGAGCATAATGGTACAAACCGATTTTGAAGTAGAGGTTAACCATTCATGCAACTTGCACATTTGACAAAACAGAGACCTGTAGATATTGAAGCCTTGGTGTTCCAGTCTTGCCAGTACGTTCGTCTTGTCTTTGATTATTAGTAAACATCTCTCTCACAACTCTACCAAGACATTAAACCACTTGAGATTAGATACTTAAGGATTTGAAAGCCATAAGATTAAAAAAAAAAATCAGAAGTACGATAACAAAAACACAAGCACATTTAGAGAAGCAGGATAATCTATTTTTAAAGATCAGATTCTAATTTCAAGAGAAATACACTAAAGACTGGAATCGCTTAGTTACTGAACATGAATCAGACAACATAACAAACGTCTTCCTGACTCTCGATTAGAACAATTCAATGGTGGAAGAACTCAATCAATTAACGGACAACTATCTCAGTTCAATTCAAGCAACAATATAACTGCAAAGCTTATAAGATGAAACTTGGAAGAAGATGCAACGGAGGTACCAACTTCGATGACGGCGAGAGAGAAATCAAACCCAGCCTGTCAAAATTTTCACTTGAGCAAACGGAATCTCTCGCCAAATCCAAACCCTATTTTATTATTATTATATTATTATTATTTATTTTTATTATTATTATTAGAACGTGGATTATTTATTTCGGTTTTGAAATATTTTAGTTTCAATAAAAAAAAATTATCACTAAATTAATAAGGGAAAAACTCAATGGAAAAACTTTTTTATCTGTTCAGGAGTTTTCTGATGATACACAAACCCTGTACGAAAATTAAATCAAGAATCAGCCAATAAAAAAAATGTAAGTTACATTATTAAGAAACAAAGCGAAAGAGGAGGATTTTCTACGCGACTCACGTTTGCTCATACGGAATAAGCGTGAAGATCCTAAGGAATCATGCTCTTAAATGCGGAATCAAAGAGTCTGGAAAACAGCTGGAGATCCAAAGGAGAAGAAAGACACAATTAGAAGGGGGAGAGTGGATCGAACGAGAGATGAGACCTCTGGTTACGCGAGAGGGAGAAAATGGGCTTACAGATCAACAGTGCCGGTCCTGAATTTTTAGAGGTTCCATACAAAATTAAAAATCATAATTTATAATCACTAAAATATATTAAGTAAATTATGTAAATTTTTTTTTTATAAAAGTTATACAATTTATAAAAACAAACAATTAATTGAAATAATTGTTACAAGAAATATACATCTTACATAAGCTTAATTAGTATATTTGTGTTTGTTAAATGTAATTTATAACTTTATTTTAAACTAAATATAAAAAAAAAAATTATAGATTTTTTTTAAAATTGTGGGCCGCATAAAAATGTGGGTCCCAATCAAATGTATCACAAGTATGTTCTGAGGCCCGGCACTGCAGATCAACGAAGACGAAACTATGTTTAGGTTTTAATTGATTTCAGACATTCACTTAAATCATTTTGGGACTTTACTCTTATTTACCCTATAAACTCTCATAAAAATTCTAATATACCCCACTTCTAATAAATTATATATATATAATTTATATATAATTTATATATATATAATTTATAGATATAATTTAATCTTATGGCTTTCAAATCCTTAAGTATCTAATCTCAAGTGGTTTAATGTCTTGGTAGAGTTGTGAGAGAGATGTTTACTAATAATCAAAGACAATACCTTAACTAGAAAAAGAAGAGATGGGTTTGGAGAAGAGAGCTTCAAGATGCAACAACAAGCTGCAAGGTAAAGAGTTATATCTTTCACAGATCCTGAAACAAACAAACACACAAACGTAAGAAAAACCATTCTCTTTCACCATCCGAACAAACCCATTCTCAAACGAAGGCTAAGCATCTGAATCTGTCAAGAGCCATTCGAACTCTAAGCAATGATCAATTCCAATACAAACTATCATCATCCTATCACAAAGCTAAGACCTTTTTAAGAAACAAAACAAGCTCAAAGGTGGGAGCTTTATACGAGCTAAAAATCAACTAAAGACACAGTAAACTCAAGACAAAAGATTACATCAGAACAAACACATTCTCTTTCACCATGAGAACAAACCCATTCTCAAAGAGAGAGAGCTCAGCGATATGGATTGAAAGAAGACTACCGTTGGATTGAAAGAGAGAAGCTTGGGAGAGCTTGAGAGACGAAGCTTGAGGCGAGGAGACTACCGTTGAGCTTGAGATGGGTTTGCTTCAGAGAAGAGAGAGAGCTCGAGATGGAGTGAGAAGCTTGGGAGAGCTTGAGGCGAGGAGACTACCGTTGAGCTTGAGATGGGTTTGCTTCAGAGAAGAGAGAGAGCTCGAGATGGAGTGAGAAGCTTGGGAGAGCTTGAGGCGAGGAGACTACCGTTGAGCTCAAGATGGAGTGAGAAGCTTGGGAGAGTTTGAGAGACGAAGCTTGAGGCGAGGCTTCACTCGAGATGAGACACCATGGAGAAGAGCTTCAGGCGTCGAGGGAGAGAGCTTGAGGCGTCGAGAGAGAAGCTCGATGCGTCGGAGAGAGAGAGAGCTCGTGGCTGCGTGCGTCAGGAGAAGCTCGTGGCTGCGTGCGTCGGGAGAAGCTCGAGGATAGTCGGAGATGGAGATGAGCTCGAGGTTGGTCGGAGATGGAGATGAGATCGAGGTTGCTCGGAGATGGAGATGGAGAGGGAAGATGAGAGCGAGGAATGTTTGTCGGCGTAGACTCTCTGCGTCAATTAGTCTCCTCTGCGTCAATTAGGTTTAGGCATATGAAGTAAATACTCAAAATTTTAAAGGATAAAATGGTAAATTACATTTGTAGACGCAAGAGTCTGCGTCCAGACGCTGATTTAAAGCGGTGTCTGAAATTTATAAATGCTAGACGCTGCGTTTTGACGCCGACGCAGACGCAACAATCTGCGTCATTAAAACGAACAAGATTTCATAAAAAAATTGACGCTGACGCTGACGCAGGAAGCTGCGTCAACCAAACGAACAGCCCTATAGCAAATTTTTAAGAAAGTCACACATAAAGCCAAGTCATGACTTCTGTTTTAATATATAAGATTTTAAAAATTTGGATTAACAAAAGGTAAAAGACTCAAAAAAAATTTGTTAGACCATATCCAACTCACCTAATAGAAAAAAATAGAAATGATGTTTTTGTTCCAATGTGTGTTCTCTATATTTTCCTTTATATTTAAAAAAAAAAAGAAGATAATATTCAATATTTATAAACATGAATATAGCATTTTCTGTTATATAAAAACACATTGGAGAAAAAACATATCTCTATTTTAGAGATCTCTACTATATAATTTTTTGAGAAAATCTCTTGGATATCCCTTTTTAATTTATTTTTCACAAAAATAGTTTTATATATTTTTTTAAATCACCACGATGTATAGTGAAGATATTATTCATCTAGGCCTGTTAAGTTGCAACTTTTGTTAGAGATAATGGGCCTACCAAGCCCAACCCATATGTAAACACCGGATAAATTCCACGTTGCATACATAACGACGTGTACTCTCTCTATTGGATTATTTTAAATAGATAATCCATAAAGCAGAAAATAATTAACGAAAATATTTATCTTCATCTCCACTCATCCTCTCTGTCTCTCAGAAACGTGCAATGGCGAGAGTTCTAGTCTCGTCTCCATCTTCACTCTTCGGTTCTCCTTTAATCAAACCGTCGTCCTCTTCCCGTCAATTCCTACCATACCGGAGTAACAAGCTTTTCACAACTGTACGTTTCAGCTTGAACGAGATTCCTCCTCTCCATGGCTTGGACTCATCGGTCAACATCGGAGAAATTCTCACCAGAGCAGAGTCTCTCTTTTATACAATAGCCGACGCCGCCGTAGTCGGAGCCGATTCCGTTACCGGGACAACTGATTCCGCCGTGCAGAAGAGTGGCGGTTGGTTCGGATTCATCTCCGATGGTATGGAGTTGGTGCTTAAGGTAAGTTTGATTTCGAATTCAAGAAAGTAATTGTGGAATTGAATCTTAGATTATGGTTAAACCGACCGGTTTGTTATTCTGTTATTGGTATAGTTGTTTCTTACTCTCTCTCTCTCTCATATAAACGTTGAATTTTAATCAGAAATAAGAAAGAAGAATATTCATTTATAAGTTTTCGGTTTTAGATTTTGAAAGATGGACTTACGGCGGTTCATGTGCCGTATGCTTATGGATTTGCGATTATTTTGCTTACGATTATTGTTAAAGCAGCGACGTATCCTTTGACAAAGCAACAGGTGAGTTGAATATGCAATTTTGGTGGAATAGTTTGTGTTTTGTTTTGAATTCCTTAGTATTGGATCTTCTACTTTTGTAGGTTGAATCGACGCTGGCGATGCAAAATCTTCAACCCAAGCTTAAAGCCATTCAACAACGTTACGCTGGCAATCAGGTGATCATTGTTTTTGGCTTTAAATGTTTTTACAACCAATGTGTTAGTTGGTCTTGGTCATAGCTAGGCATGGCCGTTCCGTTTTTGTCAGTTCGGTTCTTAAGTTTTCCTTGTAAATATCTTGGCTCTTTGAGCTATAAGTCGTCTCTTCGTTTATGTACAGGAGAGAATACAACTAGAGACGTCGCGTTTGTATAAACAAGCTGGTGTAAATCCATTGGCAGGTACTTTTCTGTAACGATGTTATATTGCTGCAGTCTGATTCATCAAGTGTGCTTATTATATACAAATTCTTGTCTGTTTTTTTTTTTATGTTAGGTTGCTTACCAACTTTAGCCACCATACCAGTTTGGATTGGTTTATACCAAGCTCTCTCCAACGTTGCCAACGAGGTACAATGATATATTCCTTATGTCTATTTTAATCTTTGGTTTCACTAAATAGAACATAAAAGTTAGTTGGTAAGTTTTCTTTGTTTATATTTCTAATTGTGCTGAAATAAAACGTTTTACTTGCAGGGTCTCTTTACAGAAGGTTTCTTTTGGATTCCCTCTTTAGGTGGACCAACAAGTATAGCTGCTCGGCAGAGTGGTTCCGGCATCTCATGGCTTTTTCCCTTTGTGGTAATGAGAGAAATAAAAAGAGACAATCTATTTTCTTGCAAGTAAAATTTATGTGTGCAATGAACCTAATCATAGTCTAATGTCTTTCGATGGTGCAGGACGGGCATCCACCATTGGGGTGGGGTGACACAGCAGCGTATCTTGTTTTGCCTGTTCTCCTTATTGTTTCCCAGTATGTGTCAATGGAGATTATGAAGCCTCCTCAGGTGAGAAAGAACAATAGCTTTTTTTTATCACTAAAACACTTCGATATGGTTGTCAAGTTCTAAGCCCAGTTTAATTTCTTTTAACAGACAGACGATCCTGCTCAGAAGAATACGCTTCTCGTTTTCAAGTTTCTACCACTCATGATCGGCTACTTTGCATTGTCTGTCCCATCAGGGTTATCTATCTACTGGTTAGTTTCCCACACCTTGACACATTCATCTGGCCATTTTATCGATGTTCTTGATCTAAACATGTTTAAATTGACCATAAGACAGAGTGTTACTCTATTTTTTGTTGGCTTCATGCTCAGAATGTATATACGAAGCTGGTTGTTGAATTGTATATTTTAAACGCTGTTTCTTAATGTTTGAACACTTGAATTGTATTTTAGGTTCACAAACAATGTACTTAGCACCGCCCAACAAGTTTGGCTGCGTAAACTAGGCGGTGCAACGCCTGCAGTAAGTGAAAATGCAAGCGGGATAATAAGTGCGGGACGAGCAAAGAGATCTATTGCTCAGCCTGACGATGCTGGTGAAAGGTAAGCTAATCTCTTTATCATTTGTAATGTTTTACTTTCAAGTACGTCAAAAATGATGTTTATATCGAATCACTAACAGATTTAGACAATTAAAAGAGCAAGAGAAGCGCAGCAAGAAGAACAAAGCAGTTGCGAAAGATACAGTTGAGCTGCTAGAATCTCAGACCGAATCAGAAGAAGGGTCGGATGATGAGGTATGGTTTCATGAAACTACAACTTATTAGTGAAGAATTGAGCAAATAAACACATGATTTTGGTGAATGATTGAATACGTTAAAGAACTTATAAGAAAGTATGATGGAATAGGAAGAAGAGGTTCGTGAAGGAGCGTTAGCTTCGAGCACAAGCAAGCCAGTTCCTGACGTTGGGCAGAGAAGAAGCAAAAGATCGAAGCGGAAGCGCACTGTATAGAACCCCACAGAACAAGCAAAACTGCAGTAGTTGATTAAAGTAAATTGATTCGTGTTTCTTATGTGATTCGTCTTTATTATAAATGTATTAACAACGTAAATGTATGTACAACTATGACTTGATCGACCACTTAAATTTTTGTTAGCATAATCAGAGGTCCCTAGTTCGAGTGACTACTGGAATGGAAACCAATATGACATGCTGTGGTTTTAGGTTTGGGGGATTTAGGCTTCGGCCGGAACCTTTTTATAATTCAAAAAAGAAAAAAAAGTTGTCAGCATATCTTTGTTGTAAATGATAAGTACTGACGCTGAGTATGCATAAGAGAACTCTCTGAGTGGAGCTGAGCGGGAAACATGAAGAAAATGAAGAAAGAAGAAACAGCAAAAGAGGTTGTATATATAGACTTATTTACGTTAATTAATGGTTGGATCATCTTGGAGCTGGGATCTTTATGCAATTCATAGGAGTGTTTCTGCATTTGAGGCAAGTTCAGGGGGATTTCTCTCTGGATTTAAAGGCTCAAGGCACGTTTGGTGATTTGAGATTGTAATTGATTCAATAAGCAATATTAATAGTATTTGTTCGCTTATCAGTAAAACTTGTAAGATTCTGAACTAGAACTTGATCCGCGCCCCCGCGCGGATGTTTGATTTAACTTATGTTCAGCGTAAATTCATAAATTAGTTTTCATAAAAGAATATTATGTATACTTTTTTATGTTTTGTAATTTACATATAAAGTAAAATATATTAATATATTATACTATAGATGTTTGATAATAATTTTTAACTTGATATAATTTAATGTAATTTTATTATTCATATATTAACCTATTGTTTTTATGTTAATTTATTTTAAATAAAACAACATATCAATTTTTAATTACTTTTCCATGAATTATTATTAATTTTATGAAGATTTCTTTTGAAAATTAAACTCTCAAAATCTTATATTTGACTAAACTAAATAAGGTAATACTATATTTAAAAAATTATATAATTTATATTTTTAATATTTCAGTTTTTGTTTTTATTTTTACCACAAAGAAATAACAATCATTTTAATTAATTAATTTAAACTGAATTTAAATGTATTGGTAGAAAGCGTAAATAAAAAGAAATATAAAAAAATATTTAATTTATTGTAAATACAATGACTAAATGTCCAGATAAAAGAAAATACTTAATCTACTATCCATGTTTCCAAATAATTCTCATTTTTTTTGTTATCCATTTTTACAAACAATACCAAAAGGTATTTCAGTTTTAATAAAATAGATACAAAAAAGAAATATTTAATTTATTATAAATGCAATGACTAATTGTGCAAATAAAAGAAAATACTTAATCTATTATCTATATTTCTAAATAATTCTAATTTATATTTTTATTCATGTTTCCAAATAATACCAAATGGTACTTCAGTAATAATATAAGTTCATAATCGGCTTATACAATTGGATATAGAGGAAACCTAAACAATTTAGGCGATAAGTCAATAACCATTAGTGTTTGTAATATAAGCATTAACAAGCAGCTTTGCTAAATAATCTATGAAGTTTAGGATTGGGTTAACGAGCCCAAGAAAGGTTCGCACGATTCTCGAAACTGCACAAGCAGACAAACACCTCTGTTGCTTTGTTGGTTTATTCGTTTGTCCTTTTGATGTGTTTGTCAAAGAACCCCGTTACTAACCTGAGCGTATAAAACTTGTCAGTCTTAGCCTTATTTCCTCAAAGTTCAGAAGAAGAAAAATGGCATACGATATCTGTGATTAGGTCGCGCATAGCATGAATAGTAGTAACATGTGTGTGCGTTTTTTTTTACAAATTCTGAAAACTTAGGTTCCCGTCTCACGATCAGAAAAATAAAATCTATTAACATATAAAAATATTAATTTATAAAAAAATTCTTATTTTAAAATATATTTATTCTAAAATAAAAAATATTTGATTTTAATATATATATATATTAACTATTATTTAATATTTATATTAATTTTATTATATTATTTGGTGTACATAATATATAGTGCATAGAATTGAAATGTGAGTTTAGATATAATATTACTAAATCTCATCAAAATATATTAAGTGTTGAAACACTATAAAGATAAGTTCATTGTCAATATAAAACAAACAATACAATGATAGATTTTTACTTATATAAAATTATGTATACACATAAATTATTAATTTATAATTTTGATAAGACCATATATTTACATAGAATCTTTTTTAAAAATATTATCTTATTATTTTATCGATTGTGTTAAATTTGAACATGTCCAATTTAGGAACAACGGAATTTATTAATTAATAGAAATTATTAATTTATTAAATATTAATTTATAGAGGTTTTATTGTATTATAAAATATATGTCTTTATATAACTATCATTATCTAATCTATTAAAACTGAAGTACAATTAGTATTTAAGCCTAACTTTTCCTTAATATTTACCATTGAATACCACTGATTTAAACCATACAAACCATCTTAATTCTATTTAATTATTGAACTAAATATACGTCTAAACCGCTGTCACTAACAATTTTAATAAACATCCTACATTCAATCGTTTTGTCCTCCGTATTAATTTCCCACTGAAACTATAAATGAATATAGAATATTTTATTAATGATATGTGTGTTACAACTACATATAACGTATATGCCTATTTTGTTACACTAACCTAAAATAATTTAACTACAAGTAAATTGATCATAACTCACACTTCTTTAGCATCTATTTTTTCCTTCAAACACCAAGTCATCAACTTCTGTTTTTGTTATTTCTGTAATGGTTTGACAAGGGACTATAAACAAAATAAGTTATGTACTAGGATAAGACATGCGCCTTGCGCAGGGTGAATATATGTAATTAAAATATAAAATTATAGTATTGACAAATTTAAAATTTACATATGATTGTTTTTGTATGTATTTGAAATTTAAGAATTTTGAAATTTTTATATGATTATCTATACGTAGGATCAAAAACAATTTTAATTAGAAATGTAGATCAAATCTTAGAATTTAATGGATCTGTTTTCATATATCTTTTCACTTTTCACTGTTCGAGTGATGGAAAATAAATGGAGTGTTACTGGGCTTGATTGGTAGAGTATTAGCAAGTTCCCTAATGTTTTTAAATAAGAAATTGGTAAAATATTTGCATTTAAAATATATAAAGTTTCAAAACTAATTTAATATAATGTATTTATCTGTCTAATAATATTAGAAAATTATATTTTTTACAAATTATTATTTTTAAAAATAATTTAAAAAAAATTATGTTAATTTTTAAATTATTTTTAAAAACAATATTTTAAGTTTTTCAAATACAAATAAATAATTTAAAATTAATTATGGTCATAATTTAACATAACAATAATGATTTAAAAAATTAAAAATTAACTCAGTTTTATATCATGATTTAATAATTTAAAAATTAATTATGGTTATGAGAAGTTTACGTTCACGTGTCAGTCCTAATTATCATCCATTTTTCTCTTGCTATGTTTTTTTTTATATTTTGGTTATTACTGGATATAAATATTTATTTTGAATTTTATTCTCATTTCGTTTGTTTTAGAAAATACTTAAGATTTAAAATAATTAAAAAGATACATACTTAGGTTAAGATCTGCACTTTATGCACAATAAGTTTTTTATATTTATTATTTATTTTATATTTTTCTGCATATTATAAATAATAAAATAATAAATATATATTAAATAACTAAGAAATCAGTTACTATTATGTAATAAATTGGCGTATGCATATAAATTTAACTATTACTCTTGTTTATTCACAATTAGGGTAAATAAATCAAAATAATCAATCTTATATATGGTATATGATATATATTTAAATTTAAATGATATAAACATAGTAATATAACACACTTTTAATATGGATATTAATTAAATGAGGTTTCTACTCATATAATCTTATGATTATTTGCATATTTGTGTAACAAAACTTTACACCAACGAATTTTTTTTAATGTGAGATGTTTAGTAGTTTCAATAATTTATAATTATTTT